TTAAAATATGAAATTAAGTAATAATCAGAGCTGGTCCTACCTTGAATGCGACGCATGCGAAAAATACGAGCGCACGCATTAGGGGGCGCCAACACAAGATTCGGGTATGAAACTTTCAATATATAAATATATTTTTCAATATAATTTAGGAAATATATAATTTCTTTGGATCTTTTACTAATCTTTGCACAATATTTTTAAAATATGTTACAAATTTCACTTTAAAATAGCAAATGGTCAAGTAAAGATGAATACATACAATTCTGCTATTACGATAACAATTAGGAGAAGTTTAATTTTAATAATGAACTGTTACAACAAGTCAAAATAATAGGGGGGGGGGGTAAATAAATAGTAGGATATTAAAAAAATTGTAAACGTGGGTACAGGACAACGCCTGTCGGGTCATCTAGTATATATATATATATATATATATATATATATATATATATGAGTCATTTTTAATTGTATACACATTTTTAATCTGTAAATTTGAATATCACTACTGCTTGATGTAAAGAGCCAGTACGAACTGAGTACCCCTTACGTTTATATAAATATTTTAGATATTTTATGTATTTTTTTGTGGAAAAAAAATTAAATCCTGATAGTTGGCAACACTGTATTTTGGCACTATTGGCACTATTCTTTATACTAAAATAACAATAAATATCATCATTTTTAATATGTGTTTTCATAGAAAACATAACAAAGATTAACATATGTAAATGGCAAATGGTTAATGGTATCTACTTTTTATTAATAAATCATTAATATCTTACAAATTACAAAAAATGACATCAGTTTTAGTATTTGTCATCACGATAAACATATTAAAGTACAATACATATATTTAAATTACAGTAATTTATTACTATCAGTACTTCCCAGAAAGCTCTTTAACCCTTTTCTCTCAAGCATTTCAAAAACTGTATGCATTTTGTCGCCCGGAGCGGCGGTATCCAAATGGAAATGGTTAAATATAAATAAAAAAATATTCCCTATTTCACCCTCAGTGTACGATTCTGTTTATTTCTTTATTACTTTATTTCTTATTTTAATTTGTATGCATTTTGTTGCCGCAGCGGCGACATCCGAGTGGAAAGGGTTAAATATAAATAAAAAAATATTTCCTATTTCACCCTCAGTGTACGATCCTGTTTATTGTTTTACTACTTTATTTCTTTCTTAATCCTTTTAGAATTATGTTAACAGGAAAGTTTACTAGAATGTACTGAGTTTCCCTGAAAAATCCTTCCTGGACTTTTGCCAAAAAATATTGCAAAGCTCCACTTCTTTATTATGCGAAACAAAAAAAACTTCTTGTGTACATGGATGATGTTATGAAATTGTATAGGAACATTTTGTTTTTAATAAAAAAAAATCAGCATGCAATTGCATTTGGCTAACTTCGTTCTGGTGAAATTCCGAATTTGCAAGTTGACAATGATGTGAAGTTATCAACGAAGGAAATGTCAGGTGATGAATAATAAATTAATAATTTATAAAACTTCTAAAAAAGTTTGTGTTTTTCAGAAAATTTGACTTTGTCATTTCATGTTTTCTCCTCGGGTCAAGTTATTCTGAATCGTTTGTCATCTGATGATTTTTTTAAAAAACAACTGCAATAACAATTTTAAAAGGCTTTTGATGAAACTCGATAAGTTTTTTTTTTTTAATTAGTAGATATTACAAAAATTTTCAACGTCAAGGTTTTCGGCTAAAATCAAGAACAAAATTTAAAATATAAAAACTGTTCGAAAGATATCTGTTTTAAATTGTACTCACTTACACCAGTTAACATGCCACTTACACCTAGTTTATTTTATATATTTTGAAGTACTTAGTTAATTTGCACTAGATTATTATATTTGTCAATGGAATTTATTTTTATTAATGTATAGAATGATATAATGTACATGGATGATTTTATGAAATTGTATAGGAACATTTTGTTTTTAATAAAAAAAACTGCATGCACTTGCATTTGGCTAACTTCATTCTAGTGAAATTTCGATTTTGTAAGTTGGCAATGTTGTGAAGTTAGCAACAAAAGAAATGTATAATAAATAATAAATTAATAATAAATATGTAATAAATAATAAGTTAATAATTTATAAAACTTTAAATATTATTAACTTATAAAAGACGTTTGTTTTTTTTTCAGAAAATTTGACTTGGTATTTTCCTGTTTTCTCGACGGGTCAAGTTATTAATTATAAAAGGCATTTGATGAAACTCGATAAGTTTTTTTTAAATTAGTAGATTATTACAAAAATTTTCAACTCCAAGGTTTTCGGCAAAATTCATGAACCAAATTTGAAATTCAAAAACTGTACGAAAGATATCTGTTAGTAATCGTACTGACACACAGCTGTTTACATGTCACTTACACCTAGTTTAATTTATATCATTTAAAATAATTAGTTAATTTAAATTTTATTATTATTCTATTTGTCAATGAAATATATTTTTAATAATATATAGAATTATTATCTGAAACAGGAAATAAAAAGTTGGATTTATCAAAACTATTTTTCAATTTCAACACGACAAATATCCTGCTGCAGAAGGTCATCACACACACAATAAATTATACACACACATATTTCTAAAATAAAATATTGAAATTGATTATTCATTGTTAATTTTTTTGATAAGTATGTTTTTTACAACAAATACTAAAATTGATGATATTCATCGTAATTTTGATTCAAGTAATTTTGAACAATTTATACAATGCACTTGCATCTGGCTAACTTCATTCTGGTGAAATTTCGATTTTGCATGTTGGCAATGTTACGAAGTTATCAACGAATGAAATTTCAGGCAATGAATTTATAAATAATAAATTAATAAATTATAAAACTTAAAATATTATCAACTTCTCGAAGAAGTTTATTTTTCTCAAAAATTGCTAATTTCCACTAAAATATAATATCTATTTTTAAATATTTGGAATTTTGTTAAAAACATTTCTACTACAACTGTTTGTAACTTACATATGTTAATTTTTATAAGTATGCTGTATAGCAACAAATACTAAAATTCATCATATTTATCGAAATTTTAAATCTAATAATTTAAACAATTTTAACAATGCACTTGCATTTGGCTAACTTCGTTCTGGTGAAATTTCGATTTTGCAAGTTGGCAATATAACGAAGTTATCAACGAATGTTATGTCAGGTAATAAATTCATGAATAATTAATTAATAAATTATAAAACTTAAAATATTATCAACTTCTTGAAGAAAAAGTTTATGTTTTTCCAGAAATTGCTAATTTCCGTAAAGGCAAATAGTAAAATTGTTTATCTATTGTCAAATATTGGGGATTTTATTAAAAACATTTTTACTACAACTGTTTGTAATTTAAATATGTTAATTCTTGATAAAAATACTATAATAACAAATTTGAAAATTGATGATATTTATCGTAATATTATAATACAAATAATTTAAACAATTTGAACAATGCACTTGCATTTGGCTAACTTCGTTCTGGTGAAATTTCAATTTTGCAAGTTGGCAATGTAACGAAGTTATCCACGAATGAAATGTCGGGCAATAAATTTACTTATATATAAAATTCTTCTGTACGGGTGCATGATTTGATACTTCTCCCAAACGGTTATTCGCATTTTGATAATTCTTTTTAGAGTTTGTCAAAGAAAGTTTTTGAGATTTAATGAACAATAAAACTATAGTAATTTTGTAGAAATAAATGGTAAAAATAACAAAAAAACACTTATCATTGTTTGACATTGTAAATATTGGAACTGAGAAATGTCAATTCACTTAAAATTTCAATTTAGCTGAAATTATGAGCCTAGATAATATTAGAATGTAATATACAAGAAAAATGTAATGTCTATATTATTATTGGCGAAAAGCAGCTGAGGTGTGCCAGAAATTAAAATAATATAAGATACTGACAACAGTAAATGTTGGCAGATGAAATTATATAATTCAGTTCAATAAATGACGCAATAAGTCCAAAATTGCATATACATCATTTTTTTAAACTTGTCGCATTTGGGTTTACTTTACTAAATTATTTAACAACACAAAAAAATATTTCTACTTATTAAAAAAATGATTTAGAATTTTGTTTCATGTGTCAAAAATTTATTTGGGTAGCATTGGATATGAAATATTTAGTAAGTTGATCTTAGATTGAATAGTGCACATATGAACTAGATTTTACAAATTAATTCACCTAAGATTTGAACATAAACAATCACGTTTGTTAATTACTAGTAAAGAAAATGTACTTTAGAAATTATGATTGCCAAAAAGCAACTAATATGTCGTACGAGATTAAGAAAATTATAGACTGAATTATTGAAGCAATTATGTTGTGTAGTAAAATCAAGTGTGATATCGTTCTTTTACCGCAGATACTATATTATTTTTTTCTGGATTTCTTATACTGCATATGCTAAAACCATAAATGAATCACGAAGACAGGACATCAAATAGGATATTAAAAAGTATAAGATAAGATATTAAAAAATTGGAACTTTCGAATTGTAGACGTGGGTACAGGACAACGTCTGTCGGGTCACCTAGTATATATATACATATTTCTGTTTTGTACAGTTTGTGTTTGGTCTGTTTCTTTTTATTAGATAAAACTGTTTTGAGAAACTTGTAAGATTAGTGCATAGAGTAATGGACGACCTCCTGACCTGTTATGCATTTATTATTTCTATATACAATACAATACACAATAAATATTTGTACATGTACATACATACATACATATATATATATATATATATATATATATATTTGTATATATGTACATATATATACATATATTTATGCATATAAGTATACATATTTACACATACAGATAATAAGCAAACCGCCTTACCTTTTACATAATTGTTATTATACAAAAACGACAATTTTATTTTTATTAGTATACACACCTAGTTACTTTAAGTTAAAGTAATAGTAAAATTAAAGTCTTTAATTATGATCAAAACTCACCTTACAAATGCATTTGAAACAGTTCATATCCTTGATGGATTCCACTGGAACAATTTCGCCTTCGTTGGAACAAGGCTCACGACTTCCATCTGGAAATAAAAAAATATTATCAACACTTGAATTTATTATATTATTTTATTTAACTGTTAAATTTATTTATAAACTAGCTGCAAGTAGCATATTGTCTTAAAGCAAGTTGGACGAAAGTTTAATTGAGAGAGGGAATTATAGTAATCTAGAGCCTCCCCCCATAAGACAAGAGACAAGATATAAGCGGAAGTTTTAGTTGGTATTGTTTATAATGAGTCCAACATAACCAGACAAAAGACCTAGTCTGGTATGCGTAAATGCATTTCTTTTGCTTTATAAAAAGAAAACACACACACACACATACTTTTGGTCTCATTAGATTCAGAACGACTTGAAACGTCGAGAAAACATAAAATTAACAAATCTGATATTTTCACGAAAACAAAACAGAATTTCAAAGCGGCTGATCCTGTCTTTACAAAAACTAATCACGACTTTTCCCCATCAAAACGAATTGAATGTTTGTTGAACCATCCAAATCTGATGCCCGCGATTTCAAAAGCTTGATTTTTATATTGTGCACTCTTTGCTTCGTATCTCCGAATCGGTTGGACTGTCTTTGCCAAAAACTAATCAGCACGTCTCCCCATCAGTAGGAATCGAATGTTTTTTGAATACTTCAAATCGGTTGATCCGTGCACCCGAAAATGTGGACAAAAAATTGTATTCACACAAAACACACACACGCACACATACACACATCCATTTTTTCTAAGGCATGCCAAATTGTTCAGAAACCTCTGAAACGTGAAGATATGCAAAAATTTTCATTTTCGATTATTAGACAATTACAATAACTTACCCTACGCAAAGTTAAAAAATGTTTTTCGCAAAAGGGAAAGTTTATATAAGTTGTCTTAAAGCAAAATGCCACTAAGACCTAGTTCCATTTTAAACTTCTTCGAGTTTCCGCATAAAACGAACAATCATCCACGTCATCCCTCACCGCCCCCTTACAGGATTTTATGACATGCAATAAAACAAATAATGTACGAAACTACAAGAGGAACTCTATATATATTGGTAGGGGGGTCCACTACAAGAGAAGCCCTCTGAATGTACTGGGGGGCTCTCTGGCTCCCCCCGTATCGAATGTCTAGCGTGGGCGGTAGTCCTCGAGTAGCAGAAATGATTTAATCAATTCAGACACATAAAATAATTCAGCTAAGGGGGCGAATGAATATATAAGGTTTATGGTTTGCTATAAAATGCGCTAATGGGGCTACGATCGATTGACGGAGGACTAGTTTTATGAATGAAAGTTGGATAATAAAGTCGGTTCATATTTTATTTGAATTATTAAATTATTACCTTGTTCCAGAACCACAAAACTTTTTAATTGATATATAAATATAAAATGTTCATAGAACTAATTATTCTTTATAAAACAATGCACTTCTTTCCACTTTGACAGTTAACGTTCGCCATTTTGACTTCGATTACACAAAAATAATTTAATATTTTAAATTATTTTTGTATATAAAGTGACAAATTTGTTAAAAATATTATTTTAATTTACAAAAAATAGGCTAAGTACAATATTTTATCAAAACAACAGTTTTTACAATATCTCGAGTACTTAAATTCTTTTGAAATTTTGAAGTTTGAAGTTTTTGAAGTTCGCGCCAAGAATACAAACTTTGCATAAATAATTAATAGATATTAGTAACAATTAGCATTAATAAATAATAAGTATTCATTAGTAGACAATGTATTAATATTTTACTTTATTAATAACTTATTAATATTTGTAATAAAAAAAAATATTCGCGCGAAATTTAAACTAATTTTGAATGTTGAAAAGTTGAAAGTTTTGAATTTGATTCTTTGATTAGTTTATTTTGAATTTTAAAGTTCAGGCCAAAAATAAAAATTTGCATAAATAAATAATAAATATAAGTAATAACTAGTATAAATAAATAAAAAGTATTCATTAGTAATCAATACATTAATATTTCACCTTATTAATATGATTATTAATGAAAAAAATATTCGCGTATTTGTAAAACAAGTTTCAAAGTTGAAAAGTTAAAAGTTTTGAATTCGATTTTAACAGTTTTAATATATCAATTATTAACTTGTTCTACAACCACAAAACACATTTAATTGAGATACAAATATAAAATGTTACTAAAATATTTATTTCGTAAAAAAACAATTCATTTTTTTTGTCAACTTTGACAGTTAACGTCCGCCATTTTGATTCCAATTCTGCAAAAATAATTTAATATTTCAAAATGGCGAATTTGTTAAAAATATTATACTAAATTACAAAAAAAACGACTTAGTAATTTAACCGACAATATTTTATCAAAACAGCTATTTCTCAATATCTTGAGTACTTTAAATATTGCATTAAATTATTTTTACTGTTTGATTAATAACGAATTAGTTTACGTTTTAGAATACGAAATTTGCATAAATAAGTAGTAAATTTAAAAATAATAATTATCATAATTGAATAATACATAATAAGCAATAATTAGTTAGTAGTCAATATATGAGGATTTTACTAAATTTATTTATTTTATTATTTATATTTTAGAAAATTTAAAACAATTTTGACAATTCCGCCATATTGAATTTGATTTTGACATGTGTCATTAACAAAAATAATTTTATATCGTAAATTATATTTTATAATATATATGTATGTAAACGTATTATATTATTATTACTTTATTTTCCCAACAGGTTCGACAAAAAATTGATTTTCAAATATTTATTCTTGTAATCGATAGTTTTGAAATTATCGATAAAACAATGGCGTCAGACCAAACACAATGGACTCTAAATGTTTGGCTAAATAAAATATAAATATTATTTGTTTTAAAACTTTATTTAAATGCATTTCTTCGATCCGATAATTAACAATCAATATTGTTCGTATTGTTTGTAAACGGTAAATTTCCGTGTATTTTTTCCAATGGAAAAAGTTATATAAGATTAAGATTATATAAATACAGTAAAAACCTCGTTAAAACGATTCACAAAAACGTGTCTAAGGTAAGAGCTATGTGCTTCGAATCAGAAGTTCCAAGTGCGTTACCCACCTCGATGTCAAGCTGTAGTGACATCAGTTTTCACTTGAAACTAATGATTGCAATATACTTTCAAGTGACCTTACCCGATACAGATGCAACATTAATAAATTTATCATTATTACAGAAATTTTGATAATAATTTTATAACATAGTGATGGGACAACCATTTGGGTTGCCATCTTTAAAAATCACGCCGTTTAAGAGTTAAGAGTAAATTGAAAATATATTTAAAAAAATATATAAAGTGTCCCAATGCGCTCCTGTCTGTCAATTTCCAAACAGCCTGATGTCAAGCAGTAGTGACGTCAATTTTTACTTGAAATAATGATAGCAATACACTTTTAAGTGACCTTACCCGGTACAGATGTAACATTGATAAAGTTATCAACATTGCAGAAATTGTAATAATAATTTTGTCAAATAATGGTGGGACAACCATTTGGGTTGCCATCTTTAAAAATAATGTCGTTTAAAGTTAGCACAACAGCTCATAGGAGTCGTTAAATTGAAAACGTATAAAAAATATATATAATGTCCTAATACGGTCCTGTCTGTCAATTGCCGGACAGCCTGATGTCAAGCAGTAGTGTAGTACATCAATTTTCACTTAAAAGTAATGATTGCAATATATTTTCAAGTGACCTTACCCGGTACATATGCAACATTGATAAAGTTATCATTATGGCAGAAATTGTGAGAATAATTTTATCACATAGTTATCCATTTGGGTTGCCATCATTATAAATCACGTCGTTTAAGAATTAAGAGTAAATTGAAAATATATTTTAAAAAAAATATAAAATATCCTAATACGCTCCTGGCTATGTATATATTTACATAAGGATTTAATCTTTTGGGGATATCCCATGAATGAAAACGCTGCGAATATACACGTATATATATATATATATATATATATATATATATATATATATATATATATATATATATATATTACATATTCAAGTGTATTTGTACAAAAGTAATCTATATATACATTTATCAAAATATATATGTTTTACGATGACAGCCCACTAAAGTTATGAATTGTATGTTTAGTCTAAAAAAATATTGCGAGAACGAAATCTGCCTTAGTCATCGCAAATATTAATATATACACATATATACATTTATATACATATATATTGAAAATACATTGAAAATTTGAACTAAATATCTAAATCTCAGATCTGATTGGTTAAAATGATTATTCACCAAGTTCGTGCAACTTGACTTAAGAAAAATGCCACTTACACCTAGTTAAGTAACTCTTTACCTAACAATAACATAGTTTATTTTCCGTCTAACTTTTAAAACGAAGCAGATACATTTATTTTATATTCTTTAGAATAATATTTATGCTCCAATTTCCAATTTTCAATGCGATTTCATCGAATCAAGGTTATGGCGTTACAAGTGGAAAGATTTCACTTACAATTAGATTTCTAGGAAAAATATAAAGGATTTGTTTAGAAAAAAATAGGAAATTAGTTGTAAGTGGCATTTTGGATTGAGGCAAGTTGAATAAACTTATGTAGAAATTGATATTAGAACAAGCACGGTGTATGTGATAAGGGCTAAGTAGAAACCACTTTTCATAGGCCTATAATAATATTTTAATATGTTCGTTTAGGTTTAAACCACGAATTTTTCTACGGTGCGAAGTTTAATTAAAATCGTCAAAAAACTATTTTCTGACAAATTATTACAAAGAATAATAATGAGAAACTTTAGAAAAAAACACATGTAGATCTAGTCGTTAAATATTTCAAAAATTACATTTAAAGCATAAAAATTTTCTTATAGGTCCGCCATATAACGTTTTTAACGGCAGTCATTTAAAATTTGCATGAAATTGTTTTCCATTATTCAAAAAATTATATTCAAAGTATAAAAAAAAATCTTTTGAGACGGCCACCTAACGTTTTTTTGGCAGCCATTTTAAGTTAGGCAGCCATTTGCATAAATTTATTTTACATTAAACAGTTAAGTATTCCAAAAATTATATTCAATGGTAAAATATTTTATTTTGGGGATGCCACTTAACGTTTTTGTTTTTGGCAGCCATTTAGAATTTTGACAACCATTTGCATAAAATAATTTTACATTATTAACAGTTAAGTATTCCAAAAATTATATTCAAAGCAAATAGATTTTCTTTTGGGTCCGCCACCTAAAGTCTTTTTGGGCAGCCATTTGCATAAAATTATTTTACATTATTAACAGTTAAATATTCCAAAAATTATATTGAAAGCTTAAAAATTTTCTTTTGGGTCTGCCACCTAACGTTTTTTATTTGGCAGCCATTTAGAATTTTTGGCAGCCATTTATAAGTTAGGCATCCAGTTGCATGAAATTATTTTCCATTATTAACAGTTAAATATTCAAAAAATTATTGAAAGAATAAAAAAAATTAAATATTCCAAAAATTATATTAAAAACATAAAAAAAATGTTTAGGTCAGCCACCTAACGATTTTGTTTTGGCAGCCATTTAAAATTTTTGGCAGCCATTTAAAGTTAGGCAGCCATTTTCATGAAATGATTTTCCATTATTAACAGTTAAATATTCCAAAAATTATATTCAAAACATAAAACTTTTCTTTTGGGTCCGCCATCTAACGTTTTTCTTGGCAGCCATTTAAAATTTTTGGCAGCCATTTAAAGTTAGGCAGCCATTTGTATGAAATTATTTTTTATTTATATATTAATTTAAATTAATAAATAATAAATTTGTATATTAATATCTATATTTACCTATTCCGACTCTGCTTTCTGCGCTTGTTGAACAAATTATTGACAAAAGGATTAAAATCGTCATAAAGAAGAACCCTAAAGGGTTCCGTACAATCCGTAATCCTAAGAGAGATAAATCCATGCCGGCGTCTTCTTTCATTTGACATCATTCTGAAATAAAAAGATAATATAATAATAATAATATATAAATAACAAATTTTATTTCATCATCAAGTTTTCTATTAAATACACAATTATTGCATATGGCAACACTAAACATTGATAATAGGCTATATTCATTACGCGCTTTGACAAGTACATAAATATAATTATATCTAAAGCCAAATTGATTTAAAATGTTTTTTCGAAGTGTTTTAGTTATTTTCGACGTTTCGTAAATATGTTTGTGTCATCTTCAGTCAATTGTTGTTTCATATAACAACAATAATAATTGATAATAGGCTATATTCACTACACACATAAAAATTGATAATAGGCTATATTCATTACATACTTTGATAAATATATAATATAAATAAATTATATCTGAAGTCAAAACATAGTTTTTAATGGATTTATTTATATTCGACGTTTCGGAACTAAGTTTGTGTCACCTTCAAGTAATTTATTTAGAATTTAAATAAGAATTAATTTAGAATTAATTGCAAACAACGAGTAATAATTGAAATATAGAACGTGTTAACATTTACAATAAACTTCAGATTTGTTTTAACTAAAACTATTTTATTATAATTTAATAAATATTAATAAGGTTTTGATAAGAATTTAACTAAAACTAACTAAAAAAATAAATATCGTTAGAATTTTATATAAATATTATCTTGGAATCAAAATTTATACAAAAACATAAAAACTTGTATATAAAAATAAAGTTTAGTAAAACTGATTAAGTTTTACTAAACTCCATTTTTATTGACAAGTGTCAAATGTCAATTTTATAATTGTCAATTAATTATGTTTCAAGTAAAATGTATTTTATGTTAAATATAGAGTGAAAATAATACTTAATAAAGTGTAAATTTATTTTAGCAAGTATTTGTATTAATATTTTTTAATAAATATTTATTAAAAACTTAAACAACAAGAAATAAAAAAAACAAAATGGCGGCACGTTTAAATGTTAAAAAGATTTTGACAGAAAAAAAAGTTTTTTTTTAAATTGTGAACAAATATTTAAAAATAAATTATATATATACAAAAACATCTATAATTTGTTTAAAATTCATTAATAATATTTCTTATAATTTTTATATAAAGCAAATATGAAAAACAAAATGTCGGCAACCACCATGTTTTTTTTACAATTATTTTATTTTATTATTATAAATGTGTTTGTGTCTTTTATCTTTATTTTATGAATGAAGTGAGTAATTTGAAAAGCGCATGAATTATTATTCCGAGAAGCTAAATAGATCATAAAATAAAACCACAAATTATTTGAGAAAAAAATAGATTTGCATTTGTCATACGCGCACGAGTTGGAAATGTGAATCATTTTCTGAGAAACATTCGCAGATAAAATTATGTCAAATATATTTATATAAGTATATATGAAAATTTTTAATTAAACGTTTTGACACTTAATACGTGTCATAACTCAGCAGTTCCTGCAAATATTTAAATTACAAAAATGGCATATGTCAAAAATTTTGAAAAACTCTTTTGAATTAAATATTTTTGTTAATATTTTTCAATTGATTAAGTCGATTATATTTATTCAAATTTTTCTTAAGGCAAATTGCCACTTACACCGAGCTTCATATTATAATTCAACCCAGGTAGTCGTATCCTTTTTTATTTCCTTCGAGGAGGTCTTTATGACCCTTAGGACAACAATGGACAAGTACTTGACGCGATCGTTAAATTTTGACATCACAATAGATAATCAGGTTTAATATTTAAATGGACTTTTCACAGAGCAGCCTTAGGGGTAAAATAAAGATGAAATGGTAAATAGAAATAAATCCAAATATTATTTGAAAAGTAAAAAATTGAAACCAAAATCAAAATAATACTAGAAGTGGGATAGAAAGAAAATAATATAAAGATAGAGATAAATCTAAATGATATTTGAAACACAACAATGTGAAACAAAAAAATAATAATAATACTTGAAGAAGGATACAAAAAAGTGGCTAACACTATGATTAAATAAAGATTCATGAATTAATAAATAGTATTTTTGAAACAAAAAATGTAAATAAATTCAAAATATTTCCGAACGTAAAACGAAAATCGTATATTGAACAATTAAATAAATACTTTATAAATAAGTAATAATAAGATTTATTTAATAATAATAAATGTATTTTGTCAATTTACCGAAATAGACAAGTGTGTCCGCACCCTTATATTAGTATTTTGTATGGAAATTTGATAAGACAGTGGGCACATGGGCTGATTTATTGACATTAACAATATAATATAAATAATGTCATTTGAATAAATTTGACATTAAACATTTCCTATTGCAAAGTAGCATTAAATAATTTGCTTTTTTTAAATAATTAATTATTCATACTTCTTACGTTTCATATTGCCAAATCCCATTTTTGTAAATTATATAAATTTTTTTTTTTTGATAATTTTTTTTGTTATGATAATTAAATTTATTTATATTTTATATAAATTGTTTAGACCAATTTATAAGAAGTCGTGTCTTGGAAATTAAATTATAAATTGAAAAATTGAAAAACTTAGACAAAAACTGAACCCTGAAGACAACGTGTATTAAAAGACGAAACATTAGATATTTTTTAATAGTTTTAATATTACTTTATACCCTGAGGATGATGTGAATTAAATATCTAAATATTTGTAATATTTTAATTACAATAGACGAAATGTTTCACCTTCTATGTCAAAAATTAAATCCTGATGAAGGGATGAGAATCAGAAGATGGCATTAATTGAATGTCGAAACAACGTATAAATAAAAAAATATATAATTTTAATATTATTTTAAACCTATATTACGACGTAAAATAAAATTTGAAAGCAGTATTGCCAGCATTTAAATATTAACATTTAAATTAGGAATGAAGTTTGGACAAATAAAAAAAGTGTTACCAACATTAATTGTTTTTTTTATTTATTTATTAAAGAAAAATCACATTTTCAAAAGAACACATAACATAAACTAATAATATTTTACGAGATTTTATTGTTTTTGAATCATCTAAAAATTCTGGATCCTGATAATGACTTGAATTAAAATGCGAAACGTAGTATTTAAAAAAAAATCTAATGAATATTAACTAACAAATTAAATAAAATATTAACAGTCATTATTCATAAAACTCGTCTTTATAAGGGTTAATTTTTTTTGAGAATTTCAATTTTCTGATTTTTTTTTTCGTGAATTAAAAATCGAAACGTTGGACAATTTCCCTGCTCCTCCTCCTTCCTCGTCGGTCAATTTATCAAGATCCCATTATCCCTGTCTAGACATAAGAGGCAATATAAAAATAAAAAGGAACAAAAGGAAACGGTACGTGGACCTCACAGGGTCCCGAAATAATTACAAAATAGGTAGTAGCCCGAGGAGAGCCCCCTTCGCCGATGATGACTGTTTACATTTTTATAATTTTCAAAAAGGACCTCCGATCCGATCAGATAAGGTTTTATGAATTGAGTTATTTATGATCGTGAGACACGGACACGTAAGTGGGATGCGACAGGATGTGACGACGGCGAATGTGATTTTTCGAGGAATTAAAATGATAATTTTAGGTTAGGATTAATGGATTTTTTTTAACTTACTACTTTCCGTATTTTAAAAATAAGTACACGACATAACTTAAATTCTTCTCTATATGTTATCTTATGTTTAAATTATTATTATTCAACTCACCATTAAAATCCTCTCCATGTGCATATTCTTTCACTTTTTTTAAAAATCACTTTTTATTTGATTTAACAGTCACTAAAGTTAACAGTTTTTAAATAAAAGTTTAACATTTTGGCTGAATTACAGTTTTCTCGTCGCCATATTGGCCGCCATGATTGATTTCATACGTACACAACTTCACTATGGATAATAAATTTATTCATTTATTTATTGATTTATATATTAAAGAAATAAAAACATACTTTTAATAATTTTATAGATAAATATTAAATTATATTAAATTAACGGGTGTTACGAACAACTATTTTTTTAATATATTAAAATAAGTGCAACATTATTTATAGAAACGTATCTGAAGTTCGAGCAATGAAATAAAATGTATTAATTGAAAAACCAATGTTACCAATATAACTTTCCCAGTATTACCAACATTAACTTTTTTTTTAATATTTTGAAATATGAATAAAATAAATATGCCCTAGGACAGATCCGTGAGCTGAGTTGAACTCCAACTCGATTCAGGTAAGAATAGCGTAAGAGATTTTCCATTGCCGTTTCACTTCGCAGTGCACCAGAAATGTGCTTCATTTCAAATGAAAATATATTTTAGATCTATAATTCAAGCGAAATTTGACATCGCTGCTGCCCGATGTCAAATTGCCAGGGAGCTGGATGTTGAAATATATGAAATATTAATTTAGATTTTAAGTTGCTATAAAATTGCGCATAAAAAATTGAATTAGATCGAAATAAACTAAATTTTCACAATGTTAATCATGATCTGTAAAATGTTATATCAAAATTAAAATAATAGTATTTGAAATAGAAATATGCCATAATAATTAAAAGAGTAAAGGCAAACTTCATTTTTTAAGCAACGTGAAAACAGCAACATATGAAACACTACCAACGTAAGGAAAAACGAATTATTGTCTGATGTAATAAAATATTATATTGAATCGTAAGCATAAAATAAATCAAATTAAATAAAATATTATTATTGGGATAGAAGTATATAATAATTATTAAAATAATAAAGACAAACTTCATGAAATTGCTGTAGGAGCATTTTTTACAAAATGAAATTAGCAAAATATGAAACAATTCCAACGTAAGAAAAAAAAAACTAAAAGCTGTACATTCAAAGTACACGAAACTACGTTAATAAATTAGATCGAAATATCGAAATAGGAAATAATAAAGGTTCTGTATTTTAATATGTTTAAGCTATTAAATAAATATATTAAAATGATTAATGGTGGCAAATTTATTTTTTCGTAGCGTGGGAGTGTAACGAATCACTTTAAGTTATAATAAATTAAGTTATTAAACGGTTCGAATAATTGATTTACATAAATATTCAAGTTATAACAATAATAAAATAATAAAATGGAACGATTTGAATGTGAATAAAATAAATTAAATCAAATGATAAAATTATTATGTGCACGGTTTTTTTATTGGTTAATTAAATTGTAATCGAGTTCGGAGTAAATTAAATTACACGCTTAAAATATTTATTTGAATCGAATTTTGTTTAGTTAATTTCTTGACAACAATAAAAGAAAATTAAGTGCATTTTTAAGAAAATAATAGTTAAATGACAATAAAAAATATGCCTAAGAATAAGCTTTGCTCTATTATCTTATTTCTAGCTTATTGCAAAAAAAGAGAGCTGTAAGAAAAATCATTAATGTGAAGTTGACGCGAATGAAATTTCTAAACATTGGAATATAAAATATTGGATTATGTCATTTAGAAAATATTATCAAATCATTAATTTAATTATTTTTTCATCAAACCTGAGGATGTCGTAAATCATAAATCGAAACGCTAAGCGTAAACAAAACCCTAAATAGTACAGTATTAATTAGATAAAAATGATCAACCTGAAGTTGGCGTAAATAAAATTTTCAATCTAAAGTTGGCGCAAATGAAATTTCAGACCGCTGAAATATAAAATATCAAATTATTTTTAAAAAATCAATCATCACACCTGAGAATGTCGTAAATCATAAATCGAAACGTATAAACGTAAAATGCTATAATATAAATAATCTAATTATTAAAGTTCGAAACGTATAGATATAAAATACTAAATTATTAATTAGAGAAAAATTATTAATCTGAAGTTGGCGCATATAAAATTTTCAAACTGAAGTTGGCGCAAATAAAATTTCAGAACATTGAGATATTAAATATCAAATTATTTAGAAAAAAAATTAATTAATCATCACACGTAAAATATTATATTATAAATAATCTATTTATTATTAATTCGTTGACACTGATCTAAGGATGTCGTAAATTAAATTTCGAAACGTATGGACAAAAAATATTAAAATATTATTAAGTAATTAACACTGATTAATAAAAAAATGTAAATTATTATTACACAAATCTAAGGATATCTTAAAATAAATAAATAAAAAATTAATTAATTAATTTGTTGACACTGACCTAAGGATGTGGTAAATTAAATTTCGAAACGTATGGATATAAACGATGTAAAATTCTAAATTAATTAATTAATTAGGAAAAAATGATTGACCTGAAGTTGACGCAAACAAAACTTCAAAACGTACCAATATAAAAAATTGAATTTTTTTGAAGTTATAATTAAATCTACTCATACTTTATACTCTTCTTTTATCTATGATTAAATCATAATGTCGTATATCAAAAATCAAAACAAATATACATTTATATTGAATAAATGAACTATTAGTATTATTTCGTTGACACAGACCTTAAAGTGTACTAAATGACTAAATGTAAAATGATAAATAGGAAAATTATTAATCTGAAGTTGGCGCAAATAAAAAATCTAAACTTACCAATATTTAGAAGATATTATCAAATCATGTAATTAATTACCTAAATAATTATAACCGTTATAAAACATATAAACGTTAAATATTATAATATAAATAATATATTTATTATTAAATTATTAGATTAAATCTCAAAACGTATGGATGACAAATAAAATATTATATAGAGAAATATTAACTTAATTAACTAATTAAGTAATTCATTGTCATTACCAAAGGCAATTAAAATTAAATTATTAATTAGATAAAAATCATCAATGTGAAGTTAGCGCAAATAAAATTTTCAATCTGAAGTTGGCGCAAATAAAATGTCAGAACGTTGAGATATAAAATATCAAGTTATTTAAAAAAAAATAATATTTAAATTATATTTCCAAACATATTAACATAAAATATTAAATTAATATTAACGTAACTCTGAGGATGATGTAAAAAATTAATTTTGTGACGTATAAATATAAAACTGAGTAGATTAATAAATTATTGTCACTTAAGATGACACAAATTAAAATTCAAAACGTACGAATATTTTTATATAAAATTACTCATAGTTTTACCCTCGTCAACACGAAACAACCCGAAATAACCCGAAACTTTCTTATCCTTTTCCTTCGCGACAACAACAAAAAGAAATTAGATAAATATTATAAATCTCAAGATGATTTAAACTGAATCATAAAATTACGTATTGATGACACTAATTAAATTTACAAAACGTACGGATATTTTTACATCCGCACGATTTCGTTGAAAAGACGTTCAAAATTTCCAAAAATATTTAAAATATACAAAAAATCAAATTTTTCAATATTTTCAAAAATCTAATTTTTTGAATAAAATTCATTTAATTCAAATCTAATTACCATATGTCGAACACCACTAGTTTTCATATATTATTATTATTATTATTGTTTTACCCTCGAAACAACCCGAACCATTCTTCTTCCTCCTTTCGCAACAACAAAAAGAAATTTGTTTGCAATCCCTTTTTACCGCACTTTCATCACAATTGATATAAAGTCAATCGCATCAACATAAACAAATCACAACAACAATAACAACAACACGATCAACATTAACAACAACAACAACCGAACAACTCCTGCAGACGGCTAGAACCGAACCCGACCGACGTGCATTCTTTTAAAGAACAAGATGTAATAAATACTAAGCTATAATATTTTATTTAAAATTTTAAATTACAAAAGTACCGGGCGCATTTCAGTCCTCTCTCCACGTTTGCCCAAAGGCGACTGACGAACTGAGACGACGACATAGACGACGACGGCGACGGTGAAAGAGAGAGATGATGGCGATTAATACGGGTGACAGAGACGGATGAGAGGATAGAGAGAGTGGGAAGAGGACGGCGATAAGCGGTGGGATAAGGACGGTGATAAGTGTGCGTGATAATAGTCCGGGAGGTATGGACACGATTTGATAAGGATACAGTCAAGTGGTGAAAGTTACAGAATTTGAATATAATTGCTAACTAGCTGTAAGTGGAATTCTGTCTTAAGGCAATTAGGGCATCGTGCCTTAAGGCAAATTGCTGGAACTTCCCGTACCGCAATTCAAAATTCGAGTAATTAAAAATAATCAATAAAAGTTGATCAATGATTCGAAACTTTTAATAGAATTTCGAACCATATTAAATCATTCTATCTTAAATCATTTATTTTGAAATATTCTGAAAATTCTGAACTTTTTTTCAAAGCAATCGTACTGCTTTAACCGTATAGAGACAAAATGTCAAAGCGCTTAAGCGCCGCGTTGCCGTCTAACGAATAAACATTGGTACGGAACCCATAGGAATGCAAACAAAATGTATACTTATTGTTAAAATCTCTATAAAATATCTGATAATTTGATGTGCATATGTCTAATGATCATTTTTGAACGCCAAATGGCATTTTTTTTACTTTTTTCATTAGATCTCCGAAACCGCTAGACATGCATCTTGTTGCAGGTCTTGTTCTTCATCTTGTCAATACAAGTAAAATGATTTTTGAATTATTAAAATCGGACTTTCCGTTCTCTTAAAAACTGAGTTACCGTTTTTGGCACTTTTTGCCCCATATCTTCGGAACGGCTAGACCTGCCTTCGCCAAAAACTAATCAGCACGTCTCCTTATCAATACAAATCGAATGTTTTTTGAATTATTCAAATCGCTTCATCCGTTGTTCCCGAAATCGTCGACGAAAATTTGTATCCGAAGACACATACATCCATTTTTTCTAAGGTATGCCAAATATTCAGAAACCTTTGAAACGTAAAGATATATAAAAATTTTCATTTTCGATATTTTTGCGATTACTATAACTTGCCCTACGGGAAGTTAATAATTGCTTATAATTTAACTAGTGGTGTATGGCATCGTGCCTTAAGGCAAATTGCTGGAACTTTCTGTACCGTAATGAAATATTTGAAGTATATTAAATGTTTTCAAATATATTATTATAAATACTGTAACTTTCATTTTTCCTATTTTATAGACAAAATATAAAGGTTTATGAATTAGACGATGACGCTTAAATAGGTTTACATGAAAAATAAATAAACTAGTGGGGTGCATGGCCTCGAGCCTTAAGGTAAATTTCTGGAACTTCCCGTACCGTAACAAAATGTTTCAGGAATATTAAATATTTTCAAATAGATAATTATAAATACTGTAACATTGTCTAATATTTTTTTATAAGAATTATATAAACTGAATTGCAAAGTTGAAATTATTTGTTCAAAGTATATTAGAACTTTAGTCCGAATTAAAATTAAAATCTTAATTATTTTCAATATACAAAAAAAAAATTTGAAAAAAAAAATTTGAAACAATTTTTTTTCCAAAAGCAATATTTTGTTGAAACAAGCAGAAAGTTCTTTGAATTATTCAAATCGGACTCTTAGTTCTCTCAAAAACTGCCATTTTTTGTACATTTAGCTCTGTATCTTCGAAATGGCTGAACCTGCCTTTGCCAAAAACTAATCACCACTTCTCCCCATCATTACAAATTAAATGTTTTTTGGATCATTCAAATCGGATGCTCCTTTCTCTCAAAAACTCGATTTCTATTTTCTGCACCTTTTGCTCCGTATCTCGAAAGCGGCTGGGTCTGCCTTTGCCAAAAACTAATCAGCACATCTCCCTATCTATAGGAATCGAATGTTTTTTGATTCATTCAAATCGGATGCTCCGTTCTCTCAAAAACTCATTTCAATTTTCTGCGATCTTTGCTTCGTATCTTCAAAACGGTTGGACCTGCCACTGCCAAAAACTAATAAGCACATCTCCCTATCAATAGAAATCGAATATATTTTGAACCATTCAAATCGGTTGATGCATGCGCCCGAAAACGTGGACGAAAAATTGTATCCATGCATACACACACACGCATGCATTTTCTCCGAGGTATGCCAAAATGCTCAGAAACTTCTGAAACGTAAAGATATATACAAATTTAAGACGATTACTATAACTTGAATTGAAACCACAGGAAGTTAAAAATGAAATTTAGAACACACATATTTTTTCCAATTTTGAGATAATAAATATTTAACAAGTCGGATTTTCTGGCAAAAACATGAACCTTAGCTTGGGGAAGGTAAAAATTAGTATTGCCATATAATAAAATATATAATAACTTTGTGTAAACTACTACTAGATTCAGAAGAACTGACAGATTTCCCATTGCCAATTAATGCCGCAGTGCCCAAAATAGGCTATTTTCAACTGGAAACATATGTTTGGTCTATAATTCTAATTGAAAATTGATATCACTATTGCATGATATTAAGTTATCTTTAACAGAGGGTGCGCTTAACCGTTACGCCATGGAACACCATAATAATTAAATATAAGTTTTATACTATTCGATTATTAACATTTTATACAATTTTAAATTTTATCAATTACGTTGTTGTGAATTTATTTTTAAATAAATTTTTCCGATCTACGAAAGTGCGCCGTCTATAATCTTATGACGTCGTCAGCGTTGTTAAATATTTGTTTATTAATTAAATATTAACAATAAGATTAGGTCGATTGTTTAAGTTAAAACAACACAGTTCTTTATGCTTATTTTAGAACATGGTTTACTATAATTAAATTGTTTGATTGCTAAAAATAACTATAAAAGTAATTTTTGTATTTATAGACAAAAAATGGTTTTACGTCAAAGGAGCAAGTAGATTTGTTCCATTGTCTGAACATAGCCCACTACGTGTTTGCCAAAATTAAAAAAATAGTGTTGCCATATGCAAAGGTAAAAGAGGTTTATTCATTAAAGTCAAATGAGTATTTAAAGGAAATGTTACTTGCATCACCCTTTCAATGGAAAGCGAATGTTTTTTGAACCATTCAAATCGGTTGATCCGTGCACCCGAAAACGTGGATGAAAATTGAATCCATACATACATACAACATCCGTTTAAGGGTATGCCAAAATGTTCAGAAACCTTCAAAACGTGAAGATATGCAAAAATTTTCAATCTAGATTTTTGGACGATTACAATAACTTACCCTACTGAAAGTTAAAAATAAAATTTTTCAAGTCATTTTTTTCAAAAATTTCAAGATTCTCAAAAACCTATTTTTTTCAAAGTTTTCAAATTTTTTAAAGCTATTAAAAATGTTGGATTACGGTACGTGAAGTTCCAGTAATTTTCCTTGATGAATGATACCATAGTCTTATAGATCATACTAAAATATTACGGCCCTACGACAAGTCGTTTAATTTTGAAAATTCGTCAAAGTTTGCAGAAATTATTATCGTTTTTTTTGGCATTTGTCAAAATTAGACCTTTCATCGACGTTTGCTCAAAAACGCCTAAACCGATTTCAGAAATTTTTAAAGCCATTTGATGTTTTCGATGAGGATTATCGCTTCTTAGTTTTGTGCGATGATCGGCCGAACCGTTTCTTTGTAATTTGAAAAAAAGTGTTAAACTTTTCGTCCACATTTAAGCTCATACTACCGAATCGATTTTAAAAAATCAAAAACTGTTCGACAGTTATTAGTTGGGAATATTATACTGATTAGTTTTAGGTGAAAATCTGCCGAGCCGTTTTCTTGTAATTAACTGTTGAAAAAAAATTTAAGCCGATTTTCATGGAACTTTTTTTGGCGTATATATCATGGTATTATAGAACTTACTGAAATATTACGGCCTTACGACAAGTAGTTTAATTTTAAAAATTCATTAAAGTTTGAGGAAATGAGTAGTTTATTTGACGTTTGTTAAAATTAAAATTAGACGATTTACTTGGTATACTGATAGAGTACTTAATTAAAGTCCCACGGAAACTGGTTCAATTATAAAAATTGTTGAATTTTGAAAATTTGCCTTTAGAAAATACTCCGAGTAAACGTGTTCATTCATTTTCAATTATGTGTAAAAAATCCACTCGGAATACTTTTAATCACTCATAAATTAATTTATATTTTATTGATTAAGTCGATTATTTACACATTTTGGGAAGTTCATGTAACTTCAAGGCAAAATACCAATACCAACTAGTTTACACTTATAGTGAATTTTTTTGCATCTTGCCTCTTGGATAATGCCACTTACACCTAGTTGAACCTACGTACGTGCGAGTGTGTATGTGTGTGTGTGTGTAATTACGTATCCAAATTTAATTCCTATTGTCGCATATCGCATTTCAATAATTTCTCGAGAAGCACATCTGTTCCTCTTGGCCATTTATAAATATAAATATAAATATATAAATATTTCGACGGACACCCACTCAGCTGATTTGCCGATTTGCTGATTAGACAGACGACTTGGGAGTTAGTGATAAAATGCTGAATTGCTTCGGACGAAAATTAATCTAACGAAACGAAAAGAAAACAGACACGGACACGACACGAGTGCCGACATCGGGATTCGCGGAAGGAACCGATTTAAACGAAATCACAATGTTGGTCCAATTCTCGGATAAAATAGCTAAATAATAATAATGATGATGGTTAGTACTCTCCTAGGGTAGGTCCGTGAGATGAGTTAAACTCCAACTCGATTCTGGGAAGAATAATATGAGAGGCTCTTGAAATCTATGAATTCAAATGAAAATTGATATCACTACTGCATGATATCCAAAACGAGAGTTCGAACTCACAACCCTCTCCACACAAGACTATGCGCTATCCCTAGCGCCA